AGCGTGTGTACCAACATGACATATCAGCAGGAAGCTTACCAGGTTTCACAGCGCGGTGAAACAAGCGATCTTGGTCAGGGTGAAGCTTGTCAAGGTAACGCTTGATTGCTGTCAGCTGCGTTTGATCATAATTACTCCTGCTGACGACCAGTCCGATCCTGTCAAGCCCCCTTGGTGATTCTTGGACATAAACGATGTTCCAAGCCTGAGCACGTCTTGTCCGTCGATAGATTCAAACACGAGGTCGCGTTTCGTTAGCTTTGACTGCATTTCACCACCTCTGAGGCAGAAGTGGAGAGTTAGCTGGTACCAAACGTAGAACGCCAGCTTGATCGCGTCGGTTGTTTCGACGACATCCTCGAAATATGTGCGCAGCTTTCCGAGATCGTCTTCAGACAGTGGTTCTTTGTGCTTTACAGCTGGTTCGTTGCCTGCGCGCTTGCGTGCCTTTAGTACACCATCCAATAGTTTGTTGGTCCTTGCAAAGGCTTCATCGCTGAATATGTTGATTTCTCGCATAGAAGACAGATGACGCTGTATAGCACTTCTTGCTGCCAGAAGACTGTTCTTTGAGAAAGGAGTTCCATGGCGCGTCTTCGCATCGACGTAGAAAGAGCCAACTAGGTCTGAAAGATCCGGAATAGGGATTGAGGAGAAGTTCGTAGTCGAAGCCTTTTGATCTTTGCAGTAATCAGTGAAGAGCCGTACCCAATACTGGGTTGCTGAGTGTGTACTCTTTGGAACAGCGTCAGAGATGAGTTTTTGCTGGTCCTCCTTCGTTGACGCTCCGAAAACTCTTTTCTTGGGTGGATCTTCAGACTGATCTGGATCCATAGTGAAATCAATGTTACCACAACTGCCAAACTGGAGGAAGTGGCAGATATGGGGTGCCCAAGTTGCTTATAACTTCAAAAACCGCGCCCAAATTTGCGCGCCTAAATACACCATGGAAACAAGCAGTTGACCGTGTTCTCCAACGTCGTCACCTAAAGAATGTCACGAAAGTTCTCACTTTTTGGAGGAAGCTCTGCACTGGCTTAGTGACTAGGTAAAGCGATACTGTTGTCAGTGTTGACTCATGCATAACCGCTGTACAGTGCTAGTAGCCTAGTCTACTGTCTTCCACAAGTAATGAAGAATGGCTATCTCTTCGGTAGAAGACAAGGGTAATGATTAATGGCTGATACTGCTCACAAAAAAGTCGGTAGAGTTGAATGGAGGTTTGTATAAAGGCTGGTATAAATATACTACAACCTACTCTTAGGTTTATGCGTGGAATATAAACTATCACACAAACCTCGGCTTCGCCTCGGTTTGTGTTCAGTTTATATTCCACGTATAAACCTAAGGTTAGTGTGTATTATATACATAGCCGGTATCAGTTAATATTACTATAGCCGCCAACCTTATAGGCGATACTGACTGTAGTTGTATGTTGGTTTGCTGGTCTGTGATGACAGGTGCATTCTGACAATCTGCTGGTCTGTCATGACAGGTGCATTCTGACAATCTGCTGGTCTGTCATGACAGGTGCATTCTCACTATGACAAGTGAGACGTCATTGTGACGCCAAACACTGTCTGCCTCATGCCAGTGCTCAGAAACAGTAGATGGGACAGTGAGAAACGCACACACACAAACACACAATGCACTACAGTAGACAGTGCTGTAGAACAGTGCAGTTAGAGTAGCAAGGGAAAACCCCTAGTACTGGCTCTCATGTACAGTCTGTATCGGCTATAGCGTACCCTTTTGATTTCCGTGATTTTATCACTATAACCGATGCATCACTATATGCGATATGATCGATTTTTTTCGAGCGACACATGAAAGGCAAGGGAATACTTCCAGCATGGCGTTTTGACAAATGAGCATGCTGCATAGTTGACAGTGCCCGCATTTCCATAAAAAATTCTGTTATGTACATGTACATGTGTCACTATCAAAATAAGCAACGTGAAGAAAGTAAAAAAAATAGGGCCTTTGATATTATTGCAACATGTATTTTAAAGTTATCACTATAGCCGATTATAATGTAGTGTGTTATGCATGTTTTGATTCTATGTTGCCATCATAATATCCGATATATCATTACATCCGATAATATTGGTTATAGTGATATTTGTACTGGATAAAATACGTTTTGCTTTTGATATTTCGTACCAATAGAGAGGTTTTGCAGAGCGAACGTTCGCAATGATTTTCGCGTTCCGGGTTGCGAAAACTATTGCGAACGTTCGCGCGAAATTTGTGTTTTGCATGTTTTTCGCTCCAAGACATTTTCGCGTGCACTCGCTTGTTTGAGAAGTACAGTGAGTGGTCTTCATCCGATTATTTTTGTTGTTGCGAGTGGTGGCACCTAGAGTTACGGCCTGAGACGAGAGCTCCTTGACTACCTTGTCTATGGCCGGAGACCCACAGTCACAAACGGGTTGGCTTGTGCCGTAATCTGGCGCATCAACACCTGAAATTCAAAGAGGCATCGATGCATCGTTGATGTAACCGACTCTGAGCAGTGAGAAGACGAGCAGGCAGGAGATGGTCCCGGAGAAGAAGCAACACGGGCCGCCACAAGTATAGCCTAGCTAGCACCCGCGTACCAAGCCAAGAGTAGAGATCAAGCACAAACATGAGGACTGAGGGTGGCTCACCGTGCACGAACAGTCCACAAAGAGCGAAAATTACTGCGAAAGTTTGCATGTATCTCGCTCCAAGAAATGTTCGTGTGCACTCGCTTGTTTTTGAGAAGTCGTCTCCATCCGATTATTTATTTGTTGCGAGTGGCGGCACGCGCACCAGATACCCTGAGGCCTGAGTCACGGCCTGAGACGAGAGCTCTTTGACTACGTTGTCCATGGCCGGAGACCCACAGACAAACGGGTCGGGTTGGCTTGTGCCGTAATCTTGTGCATCAACACGTGAGATTCAAAAGGCATCATTGATGTAACCGACTCTGAGCAGTGAGAAGACGAGCAAGCAGGAGATCGGAGATGGTTCTGGAGATGAAGCAACACGGGCTGCCACAAGTATGAAAGCTAGCACTCGCGGACCAAGCCAAGAGACTTTGAAGAGTAGAGATAAAGCACAACTAATACTTGCATGAAGATCACCGTGCACCAGGCCAGGCTGACCAGCGGTCCACAAAGAGCGAAAATTACTGCGAAAGTTTGTTTCGCGTTTCCTGCAACTTTCGCGTTCAAAACTGCGAACGTTCGCACGAAGTTTCGCTTTTCGTGACGTCAAACGAAAATTCGCGCGAACGTTCGCTCTGCAAAACCTCTCTAATATCACTGTAGCCGATATATTCTTATATCCGGTCACTCTATAGCCGATACAGACTGTACTCATACAGTAGAGTGGTAGGTGCTGCTGCTGCTGTTGCCAGTGTCTGTACAGTGAAGTGTATGTATGAATGACTTGTACTGCTACATGCTATGAACAGCGCACAAGTGCAAGAGGAGATCTCTCCACAGCAACTAATCATACAGTGTCATTACAGCTACCTGTAGCTGATCTGTGTAGCTTGCTCTACTAGTAACTGTTGTCTGTTGTAGTGTAGCTAGTGTTTGTGTGAGAGCGCTGTGTGTCTGACCCTGCCAGCAACATTAGCAGTCTTCATTACTGCTGAGCTGCTGCAGTATGGACCAGGCGAGTAGTCCAACTGTCAGCTCAGGTCATGGCGAAGCTACTAAGAAACCACTACCTGATGCCGTGAAGAAATACCGTGAACGTCTGTGTGCTGCCTACAGCAATGTGCAGTTCTGCATAGAGGAGACTGATGAAGAGAAGGAACGAATCTTGCAAATGGACGAGCTTTATGCTGACCTCCATGTAGTGTCCAAGCAGAAGTTAAATGCCAGGATGCGCGAAGCAGAGAAACTTGGCACAACTGCGGGCAATGAGCGGCTAGCTCATTCATTTGCGTCTGAAGCTAGGAAGCTGCGCAAGATGAAGCTTACCGAGATTCTCAATGTCAAGAAAGCCATGCGACAACGCATGCGTGGAAACACTTTCCGTGCAATTGCCCTCTCATCGGCTGGAGCAGGCAAAACCATGCTCTTCACCAAGAAAGGTCCGTTTGAATGGGCAAGAGGGCAGATTTGGCCTAGCATCGTTGTCCTGCGTGCACTGGAGCTGCGCTTAGCAGAAGTGCGCAATATCACAAGCATCGCTGAACTGCTGGATTTGGAGAATTTCGGCATCACACTACCAGGTGAGCAGGCTGAAGTCATTGATTTTGTTTGCAATCATCCCGAATCTGTCTGTATTATTCTCGACGGCCTCGACGAGATCAAGCTGGCTGATTGCAGCACGTTCATATACAACGTCATCTGTGGCAAAAAATTGCCGGGGATCAACCTGATCATCACGTCACGCCATTCAGCAGAAGCCATGAAGCTGACACAAAACCGAGACATAGTCTTCCATCGTCGTGTGGAGCTGCTAGGCTTTGAGAAGCAAGGTTTGGAGCACTACATTCGCAATGTCCTGTCTCCGAAAGATGCAACCAGCTTGCTAGCAGAGCTCAACACCAACCCGCAGCTGGCCACAATGATGCGTACACCGTTTTTTGCTCAAGCAACGTGCGGCCTCTACCGACACAAGCACAGTCTGCCGAACACGCCGGGTACAATCTTCAACTCGCTAATTCTTCATCTACTGAATCAGCGAGAAGGAAAGCTGCTCAGCGATGGTGAGCAACACACCAATTGGGACGATGTTCCCGACGACGTCCAGGAAAATCTACTTGATCTCTCCCGGTTCGCTTTTCACATGCTCATCCGTCGCAAAGTCATCTTCACGGATGCCGATTTCAAGATGTTTTCACTGTCATCAGCAGCTCGCACACTTGGCATGCTCATCGCCTGCGACAAGGCATCACCTCTGTCCAGGGCTCAGTGGCGTTTCAGTCACCTAGCACTTCAGGAAGCTCTAGCAGCTCGCTACATCGCTAGCCGCTCTCCCAGTGCAGCTGACGTCGCGTGGCTTGTGCAGCGACTCGGAGCATTCACAGGCAGCCTCAACATGTTCTGGCGCTTACTGGCCACTGAGCTGGACAGTGAGTCGGTCAATGTGTTGATCGAAGCCATTCTCAATCCGCAGTCCACATCGTCTACTCAGCCACAGGATACCGACCAGCATTCCACAGGAGCAGAGGGGCACAACGTCACGTGCTTTCTCTTCACAACACACGACTACGTCAAGGATTGGGCCGACCATGTGTCCTCCTTTCTCTCGCTGGACGAAGCAGAGCATCTTGCAGAAGAATTGCTGGATGGCAGGATCGATCTGGCATTGTCTGCTCCTGAAGTGGTCCGCCTCGAAATTGACCCAGCCGTCACCAAAATCACCTGCAAGGATTTCGTTCGTTCATTGCTACCCATATGGACTGATCGCGATCCCAGTGCCAGTACACAGAAGCTGCACGATTGTATGGCCGAGGAGGCGCAAGGATCAGCCATTCGATGTTTCACCGTCACTCCTACGTCTAAGCTACCCCAGTTCCTCCATCCGACGAACCAGCGCAGCCATCCGCGACTCTGGAGAACGTCAGTGACGCGGAACGAAGACAACGAGTCCTCTACGCCTGCCGGGTCTTCGCGGAGCACGCCGACGCCAAGCAAACCAGCATCGAAGACATCGACAGCATGCAGGCTATCTTCACGGAGTACGGAGTAGATTTCGACGACGTTCCTCTCACACCGGCGGATTGTCAGGCTATCAACACAGTCATCCGTCACCACCACCAGTTCATCACCAGCATCCGCCTGTACAACTGTGGTATAGGTGATACTGGTTATGCATGCATGGCTGATGGCATGGCTCTACTACGCAATCTTGAGCTCATTGACCTGCAGGGGAACAACCTCACAGATCGTCACACGGCCCATATCGCAGCGTGTATCGCATCCAACACGTCAACACTGGAGTACGTCTTCACATCCGATAACCTCTTCAGCAGCAATGCTATGGCCACCGTCCACAGCAACACACACCGCTGTACGGGACTGCTGGAATTGAACCTTGGAGGTCTAAAGTGCACCGATCCAGCCGTCAACCTTGACGTCATCACTAGAATCTGCAGCAGCTGCCCAGATCTCCAGTTCGTCTGTCTCGATGACTACGTACTGGATATGGAAGGTCTAACCCAGCTAGCACCATTGTTAGGAGCACTGAGGCTGAAAGGGCTGTGGCTGCACAAGGTTGGGATAAAGCAGAACTCCGCACTGATCGTCTGTCGAATCATTCAACAGCAACACGAGAGTTTGGAGCTCCTCTCACTCCGGCGCAATGAGCTAACTGGAGATTTCCTGGAAACCGTTCATGGTGCGCTGAGTCAATGCCGACGACTGCAGGAGCTGTACCTGGACGACGACTGCCTTTCGTCGAGAGCTCTGCCGGTGCTTGCGTCCCTGCTGCCCAGTCTGCCAAAGCTCTACACGCTCGAAATGCCGAGGAATGATTTCCGAGACGCTGACGACGAAGCAAAGCTGTTCGCCGCCGCTGCTGAGAGCTGCTCGTCTCTGAAGGAGCTGGTGATGCCTGAAAGAGCTCTATTGTCTCCATGGCTGCATGAGGTTCTAAGTGGCATGGCCAGAGATGATCTGAATGTGGAGTATGAGCATCTTCCCTGGCACGACGAGGTGGAGAATGACGAAGAAGATGAGTACGACGCTGAAGGAGATAGTGATGAGAGTGATGAATGAGGAGGTGAGAGAATTTTCAAAGACAGATTTTGTGTCCTGATGAAGAAAGCTTCTTGTTAGTCTTTCGCTTCCTCCAGCCATACAGTCCGTCTTTGTATGTTCTTCGGATTGCGCGTGCGTGCGTTTGTGTGTGTGTGTGTGTGTGTATGTGTGTGTCTGTGTGTGTCTGTGTGTGTCTGTGTGTGTCTGTGTGTGTGTGTGTGCATGTTTCGGCTGGACATTCCTTTTTTCGTTTTCAGTCAATTGGAGGAGTTACTGTGTTGACCCTTGACCTTTGAACTTTGGACCCTGTATATTTTCGTTTTAGATTTGTTTCGATAATAATTGTGGACTGTCTTTGAGAGAAATTGTAGCTCTTACTTGTGCATAGTGGTGCCTACAAGTCTCTCCGCAGTCGAGACTGGCACTCAGCCACAGATGCTCTCTGAACCCTCCCTGAACACCCTCTCCGCTTGCACCCTGGCTCCCCCCATTTTATTTGTTATTTTCTACTCTGTCACATGTATCATCTTTCCATTTTCCTTCCTCTATATAAATGTACTCCCCCCTCCCCTCCCCCTGTGCCTGCTCCCTCCCCCCCCCCCCCCCCACAGTTTTTGGTGCACTGAAGTGTCGCTGAAGCCGAGACCTCAGGTCGGCGGAGATGCTCCAGTTTCACCACCACAGTTGCGTCTGCAACCACCTCTAGCTCTATCATGCAGTATTCTGTTCTCGAGGTTCGTGGTTTCTCCTTAAAAAAAATAGTGCATTATGTCTTTACTGGACGCAGGTTACACAATGAAATAATTTTACTTGTATGTAGTAAAGTGGTCGCAGGTTTCTTTGCCAATATTTGCATCTCGTGAATAGAATATTTTTTCACAACTTTGAAGCTGCATTGTCATCTTTCCACTAAACCTCTAACCCTCATATGTACGTGGAATATTGTAGTAAAAATTGATATGTTCACGCATGACTATGGTCTATTTTCCAACATGGCTGCTTCCAATCACGTTGTTGCCTTTGCCATGCGGAGCTCATTCTTGTTCCAATCCTTCATCAAGATAAGTTGTTGAACTAAGTACTCCTCTCGTTGTTTGTTGTCTGCTACAAACATGACATCTTGAAAGAGTAATAATAATAATAATAATAACACAGTTACTCGTACAACATGCACAGCCGTGCTATACATGCTTCCGCTGCTGTTCTCTAGCTCTGTCCAATATGTATGTCAATATCCGGCAGTTGTGGCGACTCCTTCAGATTATCTGCCGCCATCCATTGCGATCCGCGGCAAACATTCTTAGGTCGTCCAGATGGCTTCGGCTCGAGAGGTCCGGCTTGCCTCTGCTGAGCAGGTCTTGGTTCAGGAAAGAGTAAGACATAACAGATATCTTGCACCTGAATCAGAGGAATAGAAAAGGGACGTTATCCGGCTTTACCGGCGGGGAGTATTAAAATACTGGCATTTAACTACTCACTTGTTCAGATTTCGGTCGCCCAGCCAGTGAGGGGCACAGGGACATGTCCCCCACCTGAAAACGTTTGACCTATATTGTCTGGGGTATTTAGCACAAGCATGCACATACATGTACTGAATGTTTTTTGTCAATTTTTCGGAGGTGAACCGGGAATGGAAAGCTATTGTGCAATGTCCAGTGTCATTGTACTTGTAGCTAGCTGTGTTGCTGTATTGCTTGTACATCTGTCAAATAACAAACCTACCACTGTTGTATGTACAAGCTACTTCAAGAGTATTCCCACCGTGCACTAGTCCTTGGCAGATTCTGCTCGAAAAGCAGTGAATTTGGCAGAACTATACAAACCTCATGGCGGGCAATTCCTCGAATTCTGCTCCATTTCTTTATCCACATGCCAAACATACATGAAATGTACCAGAAAAAGTACCGAATTCTGCCAATTTTCTGCCGGCATTATCCGCAACGGCCTACCGTGCACCCCCCTAAATGGTGGACCACTGTCCGGATATTACAGTGCCGCCGTACTGCGAGAGTATAGAGATAGGGACATAGAGGTCCTGTCCAGGGATACGGGAGTCACGACACAGGGCCCTGCTCCCAACACACCTGAACGGCTACAGACAGTGAGTGTGTTGTTAGCAGCATCCAGTCAACAACAAACCACGGGCGTGGATAAAGATAAAAGTGAACCTGGTCATACAGTCATAGTCCTGTTGAGGAGAATGCCAATGTCCAACTCCAAGGCCAGTGTTGTTTGGCTAGGGGTGTGTGTGTGTGTGTGTGTGTGTGTGTGTGTGTGTGTGTGTGTGTGTGTGTGTGTGTGTGTGTGTGTGTGTGTGTGTGTGTGTATGTGGTGTGTGTGTGTGTGTGTGTGTGTGTGTGTTTTGTTCAATCTCTTCTTTGGTGTTGTTATGATGTGCTGGAGAGATGCGATGCGTCAGGCCAGCACTGATTCTGGTATATCACTGTCCTACAACATCAATGGTCAGCTTACTCCCGTGCTAAAGGGTACCCTTCAAGTGCAGTGCAACTCCACGACTTTGAATTTGCAGATGATGCCGTTTTGTTGTCAATGAGTCGGGCTGAGGCTGAGCAGTCGCTTCAGACTTTTCATCGTGTTGCATCCTCGTTTGGTTTGTCCGTCAGTTCGTCGAAAACACAATTCATGGTAGTTGGTGTTGGTATTTCCCCGGAGGACAGGATGCCGATGGACATGGGTGGCGACAGCATTTCGTATGTTGAATCGTTTGTGTACTTGAGCTCCCTCATCACGCCAGACACCCGATCCTCACCTGACGTCCAGCGACGGATTGCCAATGCGGCAAAGGCGTTTGGCTGCCTCCTACCAGTGTTCCGGGATACCAGCTTGACGGTGGCAACAAAGCGTCATTTGTACACAGCCTGTGTTCTGTCGGTTTTACTCTACGGTGCTGAGTCATGGGCTCCGCTTCGGCACGACTTGGATCTGCTGGACAACTTTCACCACCGGTGCATTCGCTCCATCTTATGTGTATCTCGGCGTCAGCAATGGGAGGAGAAAATCTCATCGGCAACGCTCCGTGCGCGCTGGGGTGACACTACACCGGTGTCAGACCTTGTTCGGCGTCGGCGGTTGGAATGGCTCGGGCACGTCGCGCGCATGCCTGCAGACCGTGCTCCCGTCCAGATTTTGTTTGGAAGGTTGAGTGGTCGTCGCCCTCCTTGTGGTCCCCGGCGGCGCTGGAAAGACGTTGTCCAGAGAGACATGAGGGCAGCTGGCGTGGATTCCTGGTTTCAGAATGCCCAAGACCGGCAGAACTGGAGGATGTTCCTTGCTGAGCCACCACCGCACAC